GAGCCTCTAGCACTTTTTCAAATTGTAAGTTTGACAAATATCAGCATGTTTGCGCTGCACTCATCCTTTGTTTGTTAGTCACTCAGTAAACTAGATTCTACATATTCACCCTTTTCTGCTGTTTTCTTCTGCTATACATCTAAATTGAGGGCACCCTAGGAAAACATGAAGATCCGACCCTCTGTATATCAAACAAGATGTAGATGCATACATGCACACATGCATTTACACATCATCAGTTGGCAGCCTGAGCTGATGTGTGGGCTGGAACGCAACACTGATCAGAGATAATGGGCAGACATGACAGGGATGGCAATGCTGTCACACCAAGAGAGGAGGGAAGTGCCGAACGATAAAGCAAGAGGCAGAAAGAGAGAGACAAAGAAAAAAAAAAGAGAGCAAGAAAGAAAGAGAAAGAGAGAGAAACAGGGAGGGAGGGAGGGAAGGAAGGAAGGAAGAAACTCCCAATTCATCAACACACACACAGAACAGACAAAAGATAGGAAATGAAAGAGGGCACACGGCAGTTCATGTCAGCGTTGAGACACCCCGTCCTCGTCTAGACCCCATCACAAATTAGAGGCATCCCATTCTGCTTCTCCTTCTCCTTTGAGTCTTCTTCTCATCAGGGGGTTGATGGTGAGGGGTCTGCCACAAGAGAACTGTTTCTTCACCTGATGTTACGCACCCCCAGCTAACAACTCTTGTAGTCCTGCTCAACCAGACGAGTGACATTACAAACAGACGCACATTAAGCAAACACGCCAGTGTGATGTAATGTTCCCACTGATTCATTCAGCCTCTCATCTTATGCAATTTCTCATACTTTCAAAAGATCACACAAAAAGGTCAACACCAGGGAACACAGAAACACAAACACGCAAGTGGATATATATGTAAAATACCAGCCTATTTGACTTATGTGTCCTTAAAATGAATCAGTGTCTACTTGTGACCCAGCTTCACCTGTAGCATTGTTTATGATCAGGGCAACAAGAGTATTTTCCCCTGTTTAATCTGAATACTTTTATGAGAATCCCAGCTTGTAAACCATTACCTATATCAGCTACACTGCAAAGGGATTCCCCCTAATTACTCAATGCAACCATGACCGAACCGGCGCCTTAATTTGACACACTCTGTGAAACCAGAGAAGAGGAAAAACAATTCAGTGTCTCTCCACCCCTGGCTGTCAGTTTTGTCTTGCTTTTCCCAAAACAGACTTCAACATTATCTGTCTGTTTCTAGGCTACAAGTGACAGCAGCAGAGAATTGGGAGAGTGAGAGACAAACACACAGAGAACCCACAGGCACACAGTCAAACACAAACATTTAAACAGCTTGATTGCATGTGGGGAGATGGGCACTGGGGGTTGCATAAGCCCTGTATTTGCTTAACAGCAGAAATAAGCAGACAAATGAGGAAGAAGGATGAAGCAGTTTATAACAACGGTTAGAAAATCAGTGAGAGAGAGACAGAGAGAGAGAGAGGAGAGATCATCCCTTTCATATTAATTGCATCATCCCTTTATCATTCCCACCACATGCTCATCAAACTGCAACTTATGTACCATATCTGTAATCATAACGAGAGCGCATTCATCTGCTCTGCCACAAGGTCAGAAGAGTCTTATTCACTGTAGATGATGAAGATGTGAGAGTATTTGCAGTAAGCTTGAGTTCCATGTTTATGAAGATGAATGATATATTATTATTATCATTATTTGATGAGTGGAGCGCTTTATGAACTTCACATCAGCAGATCAAAAGTATTTAAATATTTGCATTTATAGTATAGATTATATTAAAGTTGCAGAAGATCTACTAGTGTGTTCACTAGTGTGTAAGTGCACTTGTTCTATTATGGTTAAGATCTGGGTTGGAGTTACAGCACTCGCGTACTGGTTATGGTTTCAGTTTTATGCGAGGCTTGATGTGTGTATAAGAGGATTCGCTTACCTATAGGAGAGCTGACTTAGCATGAGAGCAGTGTATCAATTCAGGTCAACATGTACACAAACACACACACACACACCACACATATACACACACGATACAAACACACTCACGCTCCCACAGGGGCTCACTTACCAGAGCTCCCCCACCCTTCACGCTTACTCGCTACATTAGCTTACTGTACACACCACATGGTTGTGTGGAGGCACACACACACACACACATAATTTGTCCTGAACACACACTTGCACACGTAGTAAATGGCCACACGTACACATAAACCTAGCCGAGAAGTGTGTAACAGTGTATGAGATAATGGCTTTCCCCCCTTTTCACAGCCCCGGGCTTTCGCATTCTTTGTCAATTTTGAACAAAAGTGTGTGCACCCATAGACACACACACACACCAGTTTTTATCTGCCACTATAAATCCTTTTACGGATCACTTCCTCAAAACACCCTGCCAATATTCAACTTCTTCATGGCGGCAAGTGAAGCAGTGAATTGTAGCAAAAAAGATAATGTGAAGAAAAGATAACAAGAAAGAGAGAGGGAAGTTTACAGTTGTTATTCTTATGAAAATCAAAACAAACACTATCAGTAACACAATGCATTTCAAATTGAGAAGGCTGAGGAGGAGGTAGACCGGGTCACCCATTAACCATTGGGATCCCAAGCTACTCCTGTCCATGTGTCTCAGTGTCCTTGGGCAAGACACTGAACCCGAAACTGCTCCTGATGTTAGGCCAGCCTCTTGCATGGTAGCTCGCTGTCACTACAAGTTTTGGGCAGGAACGTGTTACTGTAATATTATTACTTTTCTCAGTAACGAGTAGTGTAAGGGATTACTATTTCCAAAATGTTAGCGTTACTAGAACACACCATCCTTTATGTGATGCGTGCTGTTAAGAGAGTGGTGTTAAGCTACGTTTTATGTTTTGTATAAACACTGAATACTGCCCTTAGCATAGACAGTGGTGCAGCAGTGAAAGTAATATAGTAACCTAACAACTAACATAACTAGTTACTTTTAACACCCAGTAATAAGTAAAGTATTATTATTACATTTTTAATGTGTAATAAGTCACTTGTAACTTGTTACAATATCTTTGTAACTTGCTCAAAACTGGTGACTAAGTGTGTGAATGGGTGAAAAAGAGGCAAATTGGAAATCGCTTTGGATAAAAGTGCTATATAAATGCAGTCATCTACCAAATAGCACGTATTTTGACTTCCTGTAATGTTTTATCGGCTTGTACTTGCCTGGACTTGTATATGGTTTCATATTGTACATCAATATGAAACCATACTGTACACTGTAAATACTATGATGAGTGGTAAATATTTTGTTGATAATAAGGTCCTGATATCAAAAAACTAAATAAGAGAGTTTAAATAACAAAATGACCAGCAAAAAAAAAATTATTTCTCACTTTTAAGACCTTATTTTTACTAAATTTAATTTGTTCTGTACTGCCTTTTCTAAGGGTGCTTTTACACCCAACCTGTTTAGTTTGGTTAAAACCAAACCTGGTGCATTTGGCTGGTTAATACGGTTTGTTTGGGCTGATGTGAAAGTTGTCAATCGAACTCGAATGAAAAGGGCGGTTCACTTGTGATTTGAAAGCAAACACACATACCACAAAATTTTATGATAGCATTATTTCAAAAGCTAAACTACTATTAATCCATCTGCTGATCCTGATGTGTGTTAAATAAGTACGTCAGCGTGAGTTTTTTCCCCTGAAAATACTCTGTGTACTTTGTCAGATCATTAACTCCATTAAAAAGTTTGGGACAGCGATCCCACAATAATAAGTCCCAAATCATTACTGTTGTCTGGATGCCTAAAGATGACCCTCTGAACAGCTGCGACCAAGCACCTCCACTAACACACAGCCATTTGAGTGACAGACGGTAAATAAGTCTGAAGTGTTCAGTAGGAGGTAAAAGTGTACATTTGCAGTAGTAGTTTTTGTATCTCCTTTGACTTGCAACTGGTCCCTTATCCCCTCTCTCTTTAACTCTTTCTCTCTCTCTCTCTTATTCTGTCCCTTTGGCCACAGTACCACACTGCCTTTAACTGCTGTTCCCTCAAGACGTTCAGTAACTCTTACAGTGGTTTTCCCTCTGTCTGTCTAACCCTGTTCTATACTGCTCTTTAACTGCTTTTATCCTCTATTAATATTTCCACACAACACAGCACACACACAGACAAAGTAGGCTAATGTCTTTGTCAGATCTAAAGCCATTGTTGTATGATACCTCTCTTTTCATTTTGCATTGGGAGCCTTCCATGGTATAACCAGAAATCTTTAGGACTGACCTACGCGTTTTATCATTTCTTTTCATGTGAGTACCTCTTGAGTTTTTGATGTCTCACTTTAACTCAAGTAATTTAATCTCTCCTGCACTTCTTACGTAAAAGCACACAATCATGTACACTGCTAAAGCATGCATTACTATGTTTGCCCTTTGAGCAGTGCAGTTTGTTCAGTGGCGGGGAAATGTCAGGTGCTGGCTGTCCAGAGGGTTGGTAAGGTATTTTGTTATCATCAAATTACCTCAAGTAGGTCCCCGTGAGAACATTAATGATTGATAAACTCCTTTCAACAACACAACACACTGGCCCATTCGGCTATTCCAACAAAATGTATGAAAGAGCGAGAGAGACCCCTCAAGAGAACCACCAAACAGTACGAGTCACACAACTCACACACAGAGATACACTGTGTAAGCATGAAAGCCATCTTACAAATATGTTGGTATACAGACAGTAACACACACATACATACACACACATTTATAGATTATGTACAAAAAGCTTGTACTGTAACTTCATATCATTTTGTCTTTCTTACACAAACATTAATATTCATCCAAATGGCTAACAAATCATCTAAACACACACACACACACACACACACACACACACACACACCATGAAGCCAGTCAAACATCCAAACATTTTTTTAGCGCTCCCTCTCTCTCTGTCACTCACAAAGCTCCCAAAACATCTTCAAAACAAGCAATGGCTGTCTTTACCTTTACTTAAGCTCCCAGTGTTTTCCCAAGTATGTGTAACAGTTAATTCCCTGTGGTGGTTAAAACACCGTCAGCACGTGTCCTCTCAGGGAGCAAACAGGGGAATCCTTGCATCAGTGAGATGTCTCCTGGACTCCAGCGCAGCTTTGGACTCTATACTCACACACACACACATTACAACACATACTCAGCATATGCTGCCTCTTGCACGCCTAGACCAGACTGAAGGCTGAGGAGAGGGTGTGTGTGTGTGCGCGCTGCCTGAGTCTGAGACCGCCCTCTTTTTCTCTGGTTCTACCCTTCTCTCCCACATGCACTCACCCTGCCCACCTCCTTTTCTCCCTCTCTCATCTCCACTCCCTCTCTCTCCAATTTCACCTCCCCCGGCTTCCCAATTGACTGCCAGCATGCGTGCTGGGTCTGTGCCTCTAAGCCTTTAGATGTCCCAGTCCTCTTTTTAATTGCTGGCTCTCTGGCCTCAAGTTCTACATGAAAAACAAAAGACACACAAATACAGCGGACAAGCACAGGCATGCACAAAAAGATAGGGATACATGGAACAGACACAAACCCATTCGCCTACAAGTAAAATGTTGATGCACAGGTTGACACAGTAAATGAGTATTTTTCTAACATACACGCTGAAAAATAAACAGGTAGGAAATGCCATCTTAAAATAAGTCATTTGTAAGATTGAATCCACCAGAACAGAAATGTGGTTTGAGTAGAAAGGTGAGAAAGGTGCCCAGTGAGGTGATGTGGAGTTTAAGAAGAACCCATTTTATTCCTTGGAAACCTTCCATGAGAGCAGCTGTAGCTCGTGTTATGCTTCTGCTTACTCTTGTCTTTTTTTTTTTTCGCCCATTTTTTTTCGTTACTATCTTCTATCCCACCATGCTTTTTGTAACGGCTTGAAATAAAAAGAATAAACCCTCGAGTAGTAGTTTTTTTTGCTATTTTTACTATCTTACCACCATGTTTTCAGTATCAAGAAATCACCATCTGTAGGCGTGAAACACAGCTCTAAAGTATGTAGCCTGCTCCTTCACTGACAGCAGTTATAGTTATAGCTTGGATCCACATCCTTGGAACAACTACAGTGGATTGAAACAGTGACCCAGTTTTACGGTAAAAAAACCTAGTGTATTTAACTATTTGCATTTGTCGTCAACACAAGCAAATGTGTCAAAGAATATATTTATGTTTGGTAAAAATTAAATGGTTGCAGTCATGAGAATATTTCTATTTTGCTACCCAGGATTTCTTTTTTGAGACATTTCTCACCATGCTTAGCTGAAGGAAACCTCAAAGTATTTTATTTTTGTCATAGGTGGAAAGTCATTATAACACACACACACACGCACACAAACAGCTTGAGCACTCCAGAAAACGTTTGTGGTGAGTTTCACGCAAATGTATTTAAATGTTTCCATCTCAAAATATGAAAAAGCTATTAGTGTATATCTGTAAATCTTCAAATAATAACTGATAATTAGGTAAAAAAAAAAACTCCAATAAAAATGTCTTTCTCCCTTGAGATAATTTGTTCTGTGTACTCTGTGTTCTGTGTTTCTTGGGACCGTCAAATCATTCACCAAAATGTTTGGCTTGAGGACAAGGGGTTTTATGAGGAAAAACAGGGATACATAATAGGCTGATGACTTCCCATTATCTCTGTCTGCTGCACTGTGAAGCTCCTGAAATAACTGGCATTTGGGAGTATTTAACATTTATAAAGGCAAACATGTTGGGACAAAGGGCAGGGAAGGTAACAGATCTACCCAACAAAAGGACCTGACACAGCCTCCACAGGGGAGAGAAAGGAAACAGTCACAAGCACAAAGTTGCTAACATCACGCACAACACACATTCCCAGCTTTTTTACCCCTGGGGACATGATGGCATTTCAGCACCTAGACAATCCCACCGCAGGGCTTCTTGCCTATTGCAATTCTTTAGAGTGAAGTATGTGTGTATGTATGTGCACATATGCCGTCTGTCTGACACCTGTCTGCTCATCAGGTCTCATTCTCTTCCAGGTCAATCCCCTCTCTCCCTTTCTGTCTATTTGTTTCTTTCTGTGTTATCTAATAAATTAGCTGGAGAAAGTTGTGTCCTGCTAGGAGCTGGCTGAAACAGGAAATAACCAATTCAAGAGGATGAACAGCGACTTAGACAACCAGTTCCCACACTCCTACCCAAACATAGCGTTATTGGCCTGTAATGCAATTATCCAAGGAGTGGGGAGAAATTGGTCAGTAGTTTAAGGACAACTCAGAGAAATAGCTGTGATGGCATGTTGGCACAAGCAGAATACAGAGGAGGTAATGATAACAACAGCAGGTGGAGGATATTATATAAGCAGTGGGGAGGGCTGGAGAAATATCAGGATGGCGGGGTTTCTTAGTGTTTACTTGTTTTGCTCTGTCTGCACTCATCATTTGGCATGCTGCTATGTGAACACCCTGTGTTCGTTAGGACAACGAGGAGTAAATGTATACCATGAGTCTATTCATTCTTTTGAATGTGCAGACTATTTGGTAGCAGCGCTTTAAGTGTAGCCAGTTTCGTTCTCCTGTCTTCCTGCACACCTGAGCTAGCCTTTCGGCACAATAGACCCCACCTTTCAATCCTCATCAGACATTATCGGAGTGTGTCAGCGTGGGTGGGGGGTGGCAATATCAGTTAAGAGCTGAAGGGATGAGATTGGTTTCCCATTTCATGCTTCCTGCCGTCTCTCTTGCAAAACATATCATATTGAAATTCATGAACATACTGTATTGGAAAAGGGCCAAAAAGACCTACACATAGTCAGGATGCCAATTTCCCCCGCCCAAACACACACCTTGCCAGATTTGATAAAATCATTATCACCAGCCATGCGAGTACAACTAATGAATAATGTATGTAATGCTGAGCCACAATCCCTTCTGGCCGGCTACTTCTCTTTTAGAGTCATAATAGCTACCGGTTGCTAGATCTACTGCTAAGAGTGGTTTCAGCTAATCCCTGTCTAGCGCTATTACAATTAGCATGGGACACCACTATACATGCACATGCATATTGGTATACACATATATACACAAAAGCAGGTGTTGAGTGCACACATACAGACAAACAGGCACATTTTAGACAGAAATATTAACTGGATAGGTGTAGACAGACACACAACTGCACTCATCAGTAGTGACAACGGATGTGACTGACAGACCCTCAAACTGGAGAATAAACTGGAGAATAAGCGGGCATCAGGTGTTGGACTGCATCTCGTCATGATTAACACAAAGAAATGATGACACGCATGAGATGTAACTGGGATGGACAGCTTGGGTTTGACTCCATAGGTGAGCAAGTCAATACTTAGATTAATGTTGTTATTTCCTAATGAGCCTATATATTCTTGTCTTTAGACTGCAAAGTCATACAGCACACATATGTGCAACATCAGCCTAAAGCTATGACACTAATTGATATTCATGTGGGGGAGGTTAGCTCGTTACCTGCGGTTATCAAACAGGAACACTGTATATTGTCCTGTTTACTTTGGTCATTCTTACATTGGTGCTCCTAAACCACTGCTACACTGATGTGGTTTAATATGTTGTTACAGTACAGAGAAACGTGACCTTCAGCTGCCTGTATGTTGTCTCAGGAGAAAGAGATCTGAGTTTTCGTCATGTACCTCATAATGTGTCTGATTCTGATTCTTCTTTGGTGTCTGACCGCCACAGATTATGTATTGTCACAGAGAAGTGTAATCAGTGTCTGAGCCTTGCCATTAGAGAGGAAGTAACTGATCTAGTATTGGCAGGGTACAGATAATGCAAAGATAATACAGATAAAGTTATTTTACCAAGCAGTCTTACAATCCGTTACATACTGTTATGGTTTGAATGTATTTATCACAAATTTAAAATGTCTGTGACAAATGTCACTGGTGAAGACACCATTGCTGAGCTGCTGTTTACACTATTTAACACCAGGCCAATGGTTGTTTATCACAACACAATGGGCGTGACTGACAAATGTTTAATGTTTTCCTCTTACAGGCCATACACACCAACACAGCTGGGCCATTGATTCAGGGTGATAAGACTTCTGCTCAGGTTGAAGGTGAGCAGAGCCTACTTGACTATGTACTGATAAGAATGATAAAGATGAAATTTAGCCTGACCTAACAGGTGCAATAAAGCTAAGAAGAGCATCATTGATCACAAAATTAGTTTGAAAAACCTACATTTGATCCATGAAACGGGCATAGGCCAAACACACACCTTGCCAGATGAAAATCTAGATGAGAACACTGATGCCGAGCTCAACAAGCTACCGTAGCTTAGCACAAGGACAAAAAAAACAGGGCAAAACAGCTTGCCTGGCTCTGTCCAGCGGTAATGAAATCCATCTACCAGCCCCTCTAAGGCTCACTAGTTAACACATTGTATCTCGTTGTTCTATCCATACAAAAGCCGAAGTGTAAAAATGAGGGATCGCTGTTTTACGAGGGGATTATGTACCAGATTTATTGCCTCTGAACAGATGCCAGACAACCAGTGTAGTCTCCAGGAAGTTACTGGTCCCGACCAAGAAATAGTCCGACACATAATCCCCCCATAAGATCAAATATGTGCTTACCAGTATTTCAAGAATAAGCCCAACTTTTTCACATTCTGGAAACAGACAAACATACACATCTAAACACACGGCATCATTGTCCTGTCTTGGGGTGAATGTTAGAATCATTATATAGCCTAAAGTCCCTATTCCCTTAGTAAATTAATGGTCTGTATTACAGTCAGCTACACTTATCCCTAAACCTGATGGACTGATGCTCACACAGCTACTTCAAAAATACTAAAGCACTCACTGAAACACAAGTAGGCAAACACATTAGTAACAATGTTGAGCCAATAATCATAGCACATGATAGCACCATAAGCGGAGGTAGCATGGGGGCGGCCGACCCAGGGCCCACACTGTTAGGGGGCCCACAACGTGGACTGTGAAGTTAAGTTACGCTGATTATAGTGCACACGATCAAACAATAACTGTACATGACCGGCAGAATTCCGCAGCTCTTAACAAATGAAACAGTCCCTTCACTCATGGTTTCAATGGTAAACCACCACAACAATTTAAAACAAATGGAAAACTTATTAGCACATTTTAACAAAACTCCCTTCACCCTCACGCATCATGGGAGGCGTGAGGGAGGGGCGTAG